GATTTGGCACTCTTCTCAGGTTTTTTTTCTTTTTATTTCTTATGATTGTTTTGGATGAGTTGCTGATTGGAAAAGATGAAGAGATGTTTATTTCTGCAAAAAATACTTTTGTGAAAGAAGAAAGAGGTGTTTTTAACGCTTTACTATTTGTCTAGGTTTGCTGTAATAGTTTCTTTTTTTTTTCTTTCTTTTTTTATACTAAAAATAATGTGCCACGTGTCTCTTAAGAAATCGTTAAAATAAAACTAAATGAAGATAAACTTTGTTGTTATTACTAATTGAAATGGGGGACGCCGTCTCGATTCTATCACTAATATATGCTTTTTTTATTCCTTATTTTTTATTTATTTAGATAGAAAGTTTAGAATATTTTACTTAGTTTAAGTTAATAATTAGTTAATTAATCTTAGAGTACTCTCAGGTTAGTTTTAGTATTAATTAGGTCTCCCATTTATTTAAATAATTTCTCATTGATAAACAAGAAGAACATGCTTTTTTTTTTTTAAGTTATCAAAATAATGCTAAAAAAAACAATTTAAAACTTAAATTGCAATTTTTCTTTTCTTTTTATCTTATTTAGCTTTCACTGAATCATTGAATCATTTAGTGTTGTTAAGATTTTTTTAGTTTTTATCTAATTACTTTTATTTATTTAATTTAGTTTTTATTAGATTTTATTTATTGAATTAATTAATTTTGGTTGTTAGTAAAAAAATCCAAAAAAGAAAAATTAAAATATAATTTAATTCATTAATTCAAAAAAATAGATTGTATTATATATAGATTATTAATTAAAAAAATCAAAAACAAAAAAAAACATGTTTACTTTTAATTAGATTAATTCTTTATTAATCTTTAATTATTGTAAATATTTTAGTTAGGCTAATTTACTTTATATTTAGTTTAATATTATCATTCACAAAAATACAAACCAAAATAGATCTTTTCATGTTTTAGATTAATTAATTTGTTAGTAAGCTCCACTAACTAAAAATCAAACTTCACTAACAAATAATAAAAAAATAATAATTTTTTCATCCCACACTCATTTAGAAAGCAAATCAATTTTAATCAAAAACAGATATTTCAGAAGATTCTTATAGGATACTATAGATATATAAGGTGCTAGTACCTTCCATTTGTATAACCAACTCCCGAATCTTCGATCTCTTTCAAATGTCTTGTATTTTTTTACTTTTAGTATTATTCATACTTTGCATATTTATGAGTTTTATTTCGCACTTTTTCGTTTTTCCTTGAAAATAATAAAGCGGCGGTGGCAACTCTTACTTATTTGCAAGTCAAGTTAATTAATAGATTGATCTCCGATTTTCACCACTATACCACACGTCTGGAAAAAAATCAGCGACATGTTTCAATGATAGGAGAGCATTTAATGCTCTATTCCCCATTACTTTTGTAATTGTTCAATGACCTTCCTACTTCATGCTGAGGTCAGACGTGATTGCTAGGTGGTAGACGAGACTTTGAAAGACTTTCCAGTTAGTACACACCTGGCAAGTTTTGGAGACAACTTCTCTAGGTCGGTTAAAGGCTCAATACATGACTCAATTACACAGTCTAATTGAGACCTAATGTATATAGTCGGCACACATAAGATTCAATGTGCATTTTTTATCTTCATTTTTTACACTTCATTCATTTTAGACCTTTAACTGACTTAAGCGTTAAAGTATCAACTTTGCTGATCTACTCCGCGCAATAGAGATCAAGATCACTACTAGATCCATAACATATATGTTTCTTCTATTATAAATCTATAAAAATAAAAGTACTTAGAACTATCACTATTAACCTTCTGATTACATGTCTAATTTTTAATTAATCCAAGTCTATTAGTGTTTAATTACAAGCTTGCTACAATCTTATGCATTTGACATGTATGACATTTGATGTGTCAATTTATGAATTAATTCTATTATTTTGTTAATTATTTGATTAATTGAAATGACATTATTTATGCAGGTTATACGTGAGAAACAATAAAGAGACAGTGATGCTTCTGTACCAAAACCCTCCACCTCTCAATCCTAATTCTTTTATGTTAGAATTAAAATAAAATCACGCACATCCGCAATTGTTTCCAAAGCTGATCTCTCTGTATTCCAAGAATTCAAAATAAATACTTTTAACTTTTCCAATCCATCATAATCATGATCATGAACGTTAAACTCAAATACTCTGTCGTTCTCCACCGAAGCCCAGTCTATCATAATTAACTTTTTTTTAACATAAACCCAAAGTTGACGTCGTCCTCCACAGAAACTCCCCAGACGTTTGTGTATTCGGCCTCATCTCCGATCTCCAACTACCACTGACCCTCAATTCCTCGCATACACCAATTCATCATCACCGATTGTTATTGTTTCAACGAGTTAGGTTTTGTTGAATAGCTGATTTTCGATCACAAGGTTCTATTTCCTTTTCTGTTTTCTAAATTCGGTGATTATGGACCAATTTGTTGTCTGTATATCATCCATTCTTAAATACACAAGCTGAATTTGAAGTTTTTAGGTGTTTAGTTACATTACAATTGGTAATCAATGTATTTATAGAATTTGTTTTTTTTCTCCAACTAATATCAATTTGTGATGGGTGGTAGTTATGTTGTTTCCCTTGATGATTGGGAGTTTGCTTCCCCGTCTAATAATGTCAAGACATTGGTTTTGTTTGAGCAAACCAGCAATGGCAAGAGTGCAACCGGTAACACTATTCTTAGAAAAAAGGTTTTCAAGTTGAAGACAAGCTCCTCCAATGTCACCACCTCGTGTGAAATGCAGACATTTGTGATGAATGATGGACAAATCATTAATGTTATTGACACTATTAGAGATTGTAAAATAAAGTTAAATATGATTTTAATTTCTATATATATTTTCATAAGAATGTCTTGAAACCTTCTCCTCATAATGTTTTTGGAATATCATTAGCATGCATTGTGTGAGTTATGATTATTAATATTTGGCTTTAACTATTTTTTCTTCATTGGGTTCGTAGGATTATTTGTTCTTTCTACTAAATATGAATTTGTTGAGGAAGAAATACTCAAATGCGTTGGTTTAGCTAAGGACGGGATACATGCCATCATTGCAGTGTTGTCTATTAAAACACGTTTTAGTGTCAAAGAAGAAAATGCTCTGCGTAGCTTGCAGACATTGTTTGGAAGAAAAATTGTTGACTATATAATTGTAGTCTTTACCAATGGAGATGCATGGGAAAACGATGATCTGACGCTAGACGACAATTATTTAGGCCCTGAATGTCCTGAATCTTTAAAGGTTTGTATTAGTATTATAACCTTTGAGGTGAAATTGTTTCTATAGATTTATGTATGCTAATATAATTTTAACGGGAAGTTTTTTTTCTGAATCTCTAAGCAAAAATTAATAATTCTATTGATCTTAAATTTACATTAACATTAATGCAGGCAATTATTTCATTGTGTGATAATCGATATGTGCTTTTTGATAACATTACAAAGGATAAAGAGAAGAAATCAAACAAGTTCAAAAACTGCTGTCTTTGGTAAACCAGATAGTATTAAAGAATGGTGGTCGGCCTTATACATATGAGTTATTTACAGAATTCAAAGTGAAAGTATTGTAAATTTCAGTCTCAGTTTATAAGTTATGTGTGATATCATGATTATATCAAAATTGTCTTACAAATTTTAACACTTAGGTATCAGGTATAATATGACATGTTTACTTCTGCAGCTTTATGGAAATTTCAGTCAGAACCATGTAGTGCACAGTTGGATAGAAAGATTGAGGCTTTGGCTAAAGGAACTGTCAGTATTTCAAAAGTCATTGCTCCATAATGACATGCTTTGGATGAGCAAATAGGTATAAACCAAGTACCAAAAGAAGAACTCCCTATTTGGCTGGCAGCTCAGAGGGAAGTAGCTCGATATGAAGGGATTTGTCACCTGTTGGTCCCCGTGAAAGGCTCTTGAGGAGATTGCTTTCTTGGATTGGACTCATTCCCATTAAATCAGAAACACCTTTTCAGGTTGGAAATGATGGCGACTCTCCTGAGCCTTATCTAAGGTTTGCTCCACAAACAACTCTTTTATTACTGTTTGTTGCCTTTGTTAGAAGCTCCTATTATTTGAATCATAATGGAACAAATTTTTTTCCACGATTCCAAGAGATTCGCTTTTAACTGATATTTCTGATTGCAGCAACAGTGGAATTGCAAAAGCTAAGCAATGTAGTATAGAGATATATAGTATATCTACTTAAAATATAGTTGAATACCAAAATACTATCTATATAGAATTTTCATGTCAGATAATTTAGGTTCTTACAAAATGTTCTTGCTCATCCAACATATGTAAAGAATATCTTGACATTATCAAACCAACTCATATTTAAACCAAGTATTTTTTATCCTAAACTCACTATTCAGAAGTATCAGAGTGTTGTGAGTGTCTATTTTCTCAATGATCCATTTTGGAGACAAAAATGGCTCCTTTCTTGAAGGTTTGGTGCTTCATAGCTTGTAGCTAAACTCAAACAGTATATTAATATTAAAAGTTCATTCTATCATCATTTATGCATTACTTTCTGCACATTGGAAGTGAAAGAATACCGGTATGGAAGTGAAAGAATACCGGTATGGAAGTGCATCATTTATGCATTACTTTTTGCACATTAAAAGTTCAACTATCTGCAGTTTGACATTATTAAGCATAAGTAATGACTTTGAGTCATGTATAAGAATGAAAACTTGAAATTGCGTTCTATTATTACTTTTGTATATTTATTATTACTTTTGTATATTTAGGGCAGATTTCTATCCTATTGAAACACTTAAACTAAAAATACGTTCTATTATTATTTTGGGATAGATTTTTGAAATTGAGTACTTATGTAAATTGTTTGGTTAATTATGTTTTTGTAAATCACATAAAATCATAATCAACAATATTGAAAGAGGATTAAAAAAAAATCAAAATAAATTAAAGGGTTAAATGCACTTTATCCCTGCAATAGTAGCGAGTTTTGACTTATCCCATTTTTAAAAAAAGATATTTTCGTCTCTTAACAAATATAGATTCCAAAACAGAAAACCTTAAACTATGTGTTTCAGTTTGTATATTACTCATTTTAACATATTTAAATAACAACATTTAATAACCAAATAAACCCTTACACTTCTGCATAAACATAATCAACAACCTTACCATTCAACAAAATTCTGAGGACTATCCCAAACTGCGATAACCATAGGATTCCTAAGTGAGACATTGAGGATTTCATAGAGTTGCAGTAGTTTTTAACTTATTTACATAGAATTCCACGTCCGGAAGATATATTTTAGTCTTCAAGTTAGCATTGGAAGCTTCTTTTGCATTAAGAATATTTTGCAAATTCACAATCGAAGGTGATCTTTGAAGTTCCAACAACTCCCCCAACTCACCACAATATACGACAACAACTGTATAGACTTTAATTGACCAAAATTTGTAGCATCTTTTGACAGCATCATCAGTAAGATCTAATTGACGTAAACTGACAAGCTTAAATGTTCTCGCTGATAATAATAAATTAAGTTAGGTACATTCTACCAATAGTAAAGTTTGTAAGTTATACAACGACAAATAGAATCATGTAGAGATATAATGGTAATCTGAGAAAGATCCAAATATCTCAAATGGATTAGTAATTAAATATTATGCTAATGAAAATACGAGCAGACACTTTTGTTTTGATAATAAGCATTTAAATAAGTTTAAAACTACTGTATTTCTATGAAATCCTCAATGTCTCACTTAGGAATTCTATGGTTATCGCAGCTTGGGGTAGTCTCAGAATTCTGTTGAATGGTAAGATTGTTGATTATGTTTATGCAAAAGTGTATTGGTTTATTTGATTATTGAATGTTGTTATTTGGATACGTTAAAGTGAGTAATATACAAATTGAAACACATAATCTAGTGGTTGGTTGCATTACTTGTAAGTAGATAAGTAGAGGGACAAGAGTTTAAAATCAGCTCGTGTGAACATACTATTCATCTCTATTTTTTTATTGTTGTTTATATAATTAAAATTAAAAAATCAATTATGCGATTTATTAAAATTACGAATTAATATTTAAAAGTTGGTAAATATTATAATATAAATCTAAATACAAAAGTTTTTTACTAGTTCATCAAATTAATTAAAATAAATGTAAAACACAGTTATGGGTGTAACCCCAAATTTTAGTTGAACTTGAACAAGTGGATACTGCGAAAGTTCGAGGTAAAAAAACTGAACCACGGTTGAAAAATTTCCCCAAATCACCATTTTCATCGTTCTCCACCTTCTTCTTTAATCCTCTCCTAAAATTTTCCCCTAATCTCTACCAACTTCTGTGTCTCTACATCTCCAAGATGATGCTCAGAGCAAGCGGTTCAATATTCCGAACAACAGTGCTTTTCCCAACCCCAATTTCAAGCAGCAGCAATAACAACAACAACAGAATCGATTATTCTCATTTCCTTAACAACCGAAGAAGAAGCAGAATAACAACAGTGGTGTGCGGTCTCCGTTCATGCAAAAAAAAAAAGCCACCGTCAATGGTAATTTCAAAAGAAAGCGTTCAAGTTATTCACGCTCTCAAACTCGCCAGAAATTCCGACGATAAAATCAACCAAGTTCTTAAGTCAAAACTCCTCAGACTCTTGAAGGCTGATGTGTTGGACGTTTTGGCTGAATTGCAAAGACAAAACCAACTCCATTTATCTCTTAAGGTAACAAAACAACTTTTTTGTTAAGCACTTACTTATAGGATAAGTGATTATTATGCAAATTAAGGTTAATTTTAGTTTTTTATTTTTCATAATTGAAGTTTAGGTTTTCGAGTTTATTATTGGCGAGGAGGAAGCTGGGAATGATGCATTGCTGTTACAGTTGTATTCTGACATGATACTGTTATTGGGAAAGAATAAGATGTTTGAGATGGCGAAAGAGATGTTCGATCGGGTGGTGGAAAAGGGGTTGAAACCGGATACGAGGTTGTTTAATGAGATGATTGGGGTTTATTTGCAAGATGGTAATACTGAGAAGGCGTTGGAGGTTTACGGATCAATGAAGGGTTTAGGTTCGGGGTGTTTGCCGGATGAATTGACGTTTACGATATTGATTAGAAGTCTAATGAAGAATGGAGAAAATGAGCTTGTTGAAAGTTTGAAAAAGGAGAGTTTTGATTATGTTAATGCACCTGATAAATTTGTTCAGAAAGTTCAGCAAATACATGTGAGGTTTCAAATTCAAATGGTGTTATGTTATGCAACTATTGTTTTCTCTTTCTATGTATGTGCTTAAATGTGATTTTCTGTTTGTTTCAGGCAAAACGACATGTCAATCTGGTTGTGTAATGTGATTCTACTGTACTGGTTTTATTGGAGAGATGCTACTTTCATTATTCCACACATTTGAACCTCAATTCAACATTTTTTGCCAATTTGGTAATAATGATGGCATATGCGAATGTGATAGGATAGCCGAACTATATAGTCCTGTTGTTGCAATGTATTTGTGCTTTTGATTTGAACAGATTATATATACTTGTGTTGTTGCAATGTTGATGAGATCATTTATACTTTTCGATTTGAACAATTGTAACAATGAGGACGGGATGTTGGAGCTCTGTTATTCTGTTTATGATATGCTCTTGCTTGTTGAAAAAGTAATGGTAGGTTTTTTAGCTGGTAGCATTAAGAATAAAAGTTTTGTATTTATAAGTAATGTCTGTGCATGCTTGCAGCTTTAAATCAAGTAAGCAAAACATTATTGACATTGCTAGACATGAAAAAATAATAGCTTCTATCTCAAGTTAATTTTTACCTTTCCTTTACAAGATATTACATTGCAAAACAAATGTAAAATTGGTTTTAGAAAAATATTCAGCTATAAGAAACAAGCATCACACACCAAAGGGGAAAAGAGTCTAATGGAATGAGGAAAAGACTGAAAATAGAAAAACTAAATACAGACTCATAATTGACATTTAGGTAGCAAAATGGCTAGGAGAGTTGTTGAACATGCTGTGCCACATAAACGCGCGAGAGAGTACCATCTCCAGCTCCTGTTCGGTCCAGTTCTGAGTTGGAAGGTGTTGAAGGAACATTACTAACTCTTGAAAATCAAGCTTCCGAATTTCATCTGACCACTGAAAAAACAATGATAGAGATCAGAGAACATTTACTTCTCTACTGTATAATAATTTGCTAAAAGAAATACTATACAAAAGCAGAGAACATTTACTTCTCTACTGTATAATAATTTGCTAAAAGAAATACTATACAAAAGCATCATCTTGTTATACAGACTCACCGTAAGAAGAAAACTCGCAAATATATACACAAGGAAGTCTGGTAAGGCATCTCCTTCTGCTAGATATGTGTCCCAAAGGCGCGTGACAAGTTGGAAGGGTATCTGAAAACATAAATCAGACATCAGACTTAAAAAGCACCAAAGCTGTGTCAATTTTATTTAGTCTATTATCCCTTGAAACTTAATATGCAGTCCCTTTATTAATTATAGAGATGTTCTTCGTAAAAAATAAGACCTCACGGATTAGAAGACAGTTGAACCAGCGGAAAGCAAATTGAAGAAATTCCAGTCCCTGATTCTCCATATGGCTTGAAACTGGTTCTGGTGCAACTCAAAGCTTAAGTATTAGATTGTATACGGACATGTACAAATAGTAATATATAGTATAATCGTGTAGTAATAACAAACAAAAAATTAGTTGATTTGGTAAAACAAATGCAGATCCAAATCTCAATCCCAATGCAAAAATAGGGTAACTAAGTTCATACTTAAAGAAAATACAACAGGCCTGAGAAAAAGGTTACCATCGATCCTCCTGACCAATTCCTTCAACTTAAAAACAAGCCTTTGAATTCCCGGTTGAGCAAATGTGTAATGGTCTTGCATACCATCAAGCAATTTTGACAAGCACCAATAGCAGTCAGCCTCTACATTAGAGATTTTATCTGAAGATAAATCGGACATTGTCCAATTCTCTATGCTTCCTTCTAAATATTCAGATAGGAAAACAACAAAAAATGGCGTGACAAGGTCATTTATCCCCTGAACATATCCACTTGCTGGATGCCGAATGGCCCTGGCAGAAGATGAGGAAATCATGTAAAATAACTATGATAATAAAAACTTAAATTTTGCAAGCAAAAAAAGTCATCTTTTGACCTCAGAAAAAAAAATTAACAACAAAGAACACTGGCATGAAAATAATATCAGGACCAGAAAAACAGGTTATCAGTAATATACCATGCGTAAAGAATACGCTCCAGTGATTTCTGAACTTGAGGTTGTTGGAAGAATGAAACATCAGGTACAGTTCTTGGACAATCAATGCAAATCTAAAAATGGTTAAAAAAAACATTAAAAACAGAAGAATGTATTTTTGTACACAATCAAGAGTGGCATGTGTATAATCAAGGATACCTGGCGAAGCATGCTGATCTCATCATCTGAGCGTTCTGTATCAGGAATATCATAATACTGAGAAACACAATCAAGATACTCGAGCCGCTTCCTTCTCAAAACCCCCTCCCTTCTATCTGAATTAGTTGGTGCATATCCCTGTTGTCAGTTGATCTTTAAATTTCAAGAAGAAAACAAATTATCCATGGAAAGACATGGCGATGACCTATTTACTTAATTATTATCTATAGGGTCAAAACCCTTCCTTTTTATTTTTCAAAAGCCTCTGCTGATCTTATTCCTAAGCTATTTTTACATAAGCAGCACCAGATCTCCAAGAAAAAATAATTCTGCAACCCACCCTACCCTCAATGATTTGTTTACATAACACCAAAATATAACGCGAATACATATACCCAAATAATTTATAATCTGAACTCCAAAATCTATTGTTATTGTGCTTCTTGATGATCATATAGCTTACCAAGAGAACTCTCCATACTGTAGGACGCATATAATCTGGAACACCACTCCAAGCTAATTCACGCAATTTGTCTACAGGATAGTTAAGGAAGAAAATTATGGTTTCCATAACAGTTTACCATTTGAAAATTGGAAAACTAAATAAATAGTATTGAGAGATAATTTGATAGGACACCATGGCCCAACGGATTTGATGGCTTAATCATTGGGCCCAAGTCACACACTTACAGCATCTAGAAGGTTGAGCCAGTTAGGATATTCCCTGATTTTAAGAGATTTTCTGTTATAAGAGAGGGGAGGGAAAAGAGTAGGCATTCAGAAAGTTTGTTAGAAAGTTGATAGGAGAGATACTCTCTGGCTTAGGAGCAATTCTGCTCTGGTTTACGAGTTCATAGAACTCTGGTTTACATTTTCTGTTTCATCCACCATGGTAAGAGCTTCAAGCTCAACCATTTGCAGTAAATAATATACAGTTGTTTACCTATTTTTTCTTGTTTCTATCATAACTCCTTTACAGCATAAGCAAACATGAATTCTTAGAGGCTTGACCGCTTGACAATCAGCAATATTTTGGGCAAAAATCAAGAGAATGAGAATGAAAGACACTCAAGTAGTAAATTTTTCTTTAGTGTTGTTATGGCTTCCAGTTGTGATAGGAGCATATATTTACTATCCATTGTTTTTGCGTATAAATCAATAACAATTAACAACCTTAAAAAGGACATATATATTGTTTATGTCTGATTATGCTAAAGCAGTAAATGGTGAGACAGGTTCTTAAATTTGTACACAGTAATTACTAATTAACAGCAAACCTAAGTTCATATAAAACTCTACAACTAAAAAACTGGAAGAGAGAAAATGTCAAGTTATTTATAATAGCAACGTTTCAGTTTTTCTTACAACTTAAGTTGAACCGTGCATCGTATAACAGTATGTATGTTTATCTGGACATACAGCTCAGAATTACATACGACCGGACCAATATGATACTTTCATAATTGGAAGTGGTCATTTAGGAAAAACGAACAATGAATCCATAAAGTAATATAAAAAAAATAGAAATACAGAAGTTAAAACTATACCTAATATAACCATTGTTCCAGAAAGAGCCTTTGTGAACTTTATAACTCTTGCAGAATCAGTAGCTCTAGCACCAATGGAAGTTTTTCGTACATGTACTTCCTCAGACGGATTCTCTACATGTGAGGTTGATGTTTTTGATTTACTATCACTAGTAATACTTCCAAGTGATTTGCTTCCACTTTGAACTTCCTCCTGCGTTACGAGTAGAACTCACACTTGACGACGTGCTACCAATCAGTCTTATAGACATACATAACAAGACATAATAACAAAACCATAAAATATGAATACAAAATTCACCTCTACTGTCTCAATTGCGCGATTACTTGTACCGGTATCACTATAACTCCTTTGGAAAATCGGTGAGTATAAACTTGAATTATCGTTCGGATCCCTCGGGCTCAATAATATTTTACCAGGAATGTTACGACCCTTGAGTAACCTTAACAAAGAAAGAACATATCAAACATACAAAATCTATAAACCCAACAAATTGTTCAGAATCACAACACTAAGAAGAAGCTATTCAATTTGATTATATGAAAATTAGGGTTAATTATCAGACACAGACAAATTGTTCAAATTATTCAAAATCATTGATCTTAATGTTTAAATAATCAATCATTGAAGATCAAAAAACAAATCGGGTAGTGTAATTCTCGAGATCAACAAGTTTCATGAAATGCTGATAATTGAAGAGGAATTGGGAGAGAGAGAAAAGAAAAGAACATACCCTTGAACATTTCTGAGGGTTTGGTTGAAACGAGAATCGAGGATTCCTATGGTAGTGTCTTTAATGTTGTTGTTGATATTGTCGTTGTTGTTGTTATCGTTGTTCTTCATGGTTGATCTGTGGTTAATAGTGAGAGTGTTGTTGAAATGAGAGCTTAGTGATGAGTAGTGAATGAGTGCAACAAGGAAGCAACATCATCAACACTCAACCAACCAAAATAACATCCTTTTTCATCAATGCTACCAAAGTTCTCTTTCATTTTCTTTTACCTTTTTGCTTTTGTTTGAGGTTTTTCTTTTCTTAATTGAATAAAATTATCTATATTATTGTTGTGTTTTAATATGTATTTTGTTCTAAAATTTATTCATTTTTACAATTTGATAATCTTTTTCAATTGTCTTTTTTTTTTTTTTATATATTAAAGGAGAATGACATGAAATGAAAGACATTGTGGATAAATATGCATTAGCAACAAGAGCATGTTATTACCAATTATAGATGGGTTATGAAATTTACTAATGAGGTGTTTGAATTTTATTTTAGAAAAAAAAATTATTTCAAAATAAATATCTTTCTTACTTTTTAAGTGTAGTAATGATAACTATTTTTTCAATTGTATCCTATAACTATTACTCTACACACTACTTTTAATAAATTAATAAGGCTAATTTAGTAAAAGCATAATGTCTCATTATAATATAATTACATTCTTTAATCTTTGTGTAAAAACCTTAAATAACACTTATTTTAAAACAAAGAGAGTAGTACAAAAGAGGGTTAAAGGCCCAAAGAAAACACATAGAAAAAATATTAAGGCAATCTAACATGATATTCAAATGATTCGACTAAGATTAGGAAGAATTAGAAACTCGTTTTTGTTTATAGTAAGTGTAATACGGTGGGAGAACTGACTTGAAATGTTTTGCGTTTGATCGCAATTGTTGCGGTTAGCAAGAGTCGTCATCGACTTTTCTTTTATCCAAAATGAAAGATGGAAAAGAACAGGAAAGACCTTTGAGATTATTTTTTCAGTTCGGTGATAGATTATGAAAAGGGAATGTGTTAGCACCCTTTTCATCTATAGTTATCTATGAGCTCTTAGTTGTTTGATAGATCACTTGCTTTGTTTGAAAATGTGCTTTGTGGTGGTTTTTGAAAGTATTTTTGAAAAAGCGTCATCGTTTAAGCAAACTTTATAATGGTTCTTGTTTCGTAAGAACGTATACAAAGTGTTGGACTTTTTGAAAATATTTCATGTTTGAAAAGTGTTTGTTTGTTTTGAAAGTGTTTGTTTTGAAAGTGAGCAAGGATGTTTGTTTTGAAAGTGAGCAAGCAACTAAGAACGTTTCTACCTACTCAAAAGTCTTTTGTTCATTTCTCATTTCCTTTGATATTGATATCTTACCATTAATTGGTAAGAAACCTTATCTTTGGATGTAAAGGGACGGACGTGGATCATCGTATAGTCATGATAGCAATGTTGTAAGATATCTTAGCATTTCTCTTTGAGGGACTAAGATCATTTGAAAGACAACATTTGTAGCGTCATCAACGAACTATGATCTTGTATTTTGATTGTTTTTTGCTAAGATATCTCACATGCATAACATGACCATTTTTTAGGCAACAAGTAGAATTACCCTAAGGGTGCATGTGTGAATAGTGTGTTTGATTTGCATGCATTGTTTATCTTGAATTAAGATTTGCTACTTGTTGATTTTTATCTTTCCATACAAATCCTAATTATTAGCATTTATATGAAAGCGATAAATTGCGAAAAGTAAAATTATTACGCTATTATATCATTAGGGGGATGGGGTATACAAATTTATAAATGGGGATTGTAAGAAATTAAAACCTAATTATCTATTACAACCATATTGAATAATGTACAAGAAGTGAATAAATATAATGTGCAAAGATGTAAATGGAAAAGAAAAGAATTTTTGTGGTTTTTGAAGAAAGGGTTTAGTTTTGACCTAATTAACTAAAAGAAATAATTAACTAAATTAAGAAAGTTAAACCTAAATTAATTAAGAAAATAAATTAAATTAAAGCATTTTTAAGATTTTTTTAGAAAAGGTTTTAAATTTAATAAAAACAGTATGGAAATTAATTAATTAAAAGAAACATAAATTCTAAGTTAATTTTAAATAAAAAGAAAATAATTAAACCTAAACCTAAATTTAATTATTAATTTATTAAGAAAAAGAAATTAAATTTGTTTAAGAAAATATTTTTGTCTTTTTGTTTTTTAAAGGAATAAAATATAAGTGAATATAAATATATTAGATATATAAATAAATAAACCATTTTTTTAGATTTTTATTAATAAAAATAATAATATTAATAATATTAATAATAATAATAATAATAATAATAATAATAATAATAATAATAATAATAATAATAATAAAGAAAAATAAAATAAAATAAAATATAAAAATAAAAGTCATGGGGGTTTGAAATGGAATTTGGGAATTTGTTAGAAAAAACAGTTTTGAAGCCTGGCCCAATGATTTTTTTTTTTTGTAAACAAAAACAAAAACAAAATAAAATGAAATGGGCTGCGTTGTCAAAAGGAAACAAGGGGGTCAGAACCAGTAAAAATGGAAAGGCCGAGTTCTAAGCCCAGCGCGCTTGTTTGCTTGCAAAAAAAAAAAAGAAGAAAATATTGAAAAATATAATAAAAGGCAGCGCTGGGACTTGAACCCATGACCTTGACCATAAACGCGCGCTGCCTTTATCACTGGGGTGGTTGTACATCCGTTAACTAAACTGAAACCATAAATATATAATACAAAACAAGTTCTAGAAATGAACTTCATCTTCAACCTCCAGCCAGGGTACCTGTAACTCACTCATTTCTCATCCATTCACAAAACTTCCAACATCAAACTTGTTAAAAATTTCACCACGATTCTGAATATGTAAATAACTTAAACTAATTCTCAAAGATGAGCAAGAATTTCTAAAAGTACCAAATCCTGATCTAATTTTTTTCCAGAGATTCAAACCTAAAATTCTCTAAGCTCAGGCCATATAAATGAAAATTATGAATATGTACAGCTTCAGGGCAATGATATTTATATTTTATCTTTGAAAATGAAAGCCTAACAATGCCTAAATGAAGAGATGGTAGTTTAGAAAAAATACCTCAAGAACTGGAAATCGTGAAATGATTTTGAGCTGCTTTCAAAGAGTTGTGATGATCAGATTAGCTTCCTCAAGTTCCCAGGAAGCTAATGCAATGCCTAACTTGAGCTGTGGATGGCTGGAATGGTCTGGAGAAGTCAAATTATAAACTCTATTTTTTGGTTATGGAGGTTGATGAAGATGGTGTTACATGAAATTCTGGCTGCAGATACTCAATGTCACGTTCAATGTTATGACACCGTATCTGACTTTCTATAAGACAGTAAATACAAAAACAGTAAAGAACACAGTCAATTGTTTACCCAGTTCAGTGTGCAACAACACCTACTCTGGGGGCTACCAAGCCAGGGAGGAAATCCACTATAAGAGATGTTAATTCAGGAATAAACCAGCCAGTTTATCTCCTTCACTTAAGACCTACCCAATGCAATTTCAATCTAAGTACAACTTAAACCTGAGTTCCTACTCACTCCCCCTCAATCACAGCAGTGATACATAAAACAATTTGACTAATGAATTGATGAAGACACTCTTCAAAAACATACACTTGATTAAGCTTCACAGCTTTTTAATCAAGCAACACAACCACTCTTGCTTCACAGCTTTGAGTGATACACACACCTAACTTGACTCTGCTTCACAGCTTTAGTCAAGAAACATACAAACACTCTTGCTTCAAAGCTTTGAGTGCTACACAACCCTTACAATTAAAAACCTATTCCAAGTCACTTACCACAATGATAAATGCTTGAATTACAATAGTTAAAACTATACAGCTTACAAATGATCTTCTGACCAAAAAGGGATTACTTTCAAAACAGCAGCTCTGTTGAATATATAGCAAATGCATCTTCAGTTAGGGTTTCCACAAAAAGCTAGGGTTAATTCCATTTGACCTTAAGACTAGGTCACAGGACTTTATCAACCAGGTTAGGGTTGAGCTAGGTTAACCCAAAGAAAACGCAGGATTCTGTTCTGGAAAGACTGAGTCATTTTCCTGAAAAAACTCAGAATTAACCAAACTGCAAACCTGTTAGTTCAGAACAGGATGTCTTAACATTTGTTATGACATCTGAATTCCTGTTTACTGATTTTGGTAAAATGTGATCATTTTGCAAAATGCTCAGATACACACTTATAAACATCAGTACCTGTATGACAATACTTTTCTGCAAAGGTACCTAATGAATCAGTACAGACTAAACTAGAATGTTATGACATCAGTCATGACATTCACACATACACTTGGGTTTTACCAAAAATGCAAGCCAATAACTAAACAACTACAAACTCCCCCTTTGGCAGATTTTTGGCTAAAGACCCTAAGCAATCAGAGATAGATAGCAGCAGAATAAATATGACTGCAGAAAAATGGAATGTCAATTAAAGTAAGTACCAAAATATTCTCCCCCTCTTTAGCCACAAATGGGCCAAAGATACATGTAAAAAAAATTATACAGTCATCCAGAAAAAAAATAATAAGAGCAGCAGCTAAAAACTGAACACACTTCCAAACTCCACCAGGGACCAGCATCAACTCCACCAAAAAGCAACCAACCTTTAAGCACTGTCATCAGACTCAGAGGAGCTAGTTTCTTCAGTATTGAGATGACCTTCAGCTTCTACACCTTCTTCCCTTCTGTTTCCTTCAGCTTCCTCCTTTTCTAACCTGGCAATTAGGATTTCTAGGGTCTTTTTCCTAGCTTCCAGTTCTTTGCAGGTCTCTTTTAATACAGCTATGACATCAGATGTCTTGGACTGGGTCTTCACAGACGATGTCTCAGCTGATGTTATGACAATATCAAGAGCATGAGATCCCTGAAACAGTTTGTAGTGCAACCCAAGGGCAGGAGCTCTTTTGCAGGCTGTATCTCTTGCCACCAGGATATCAGGGTATTGTGCAAGGATGATTCCACAAAGGAGGGAGGGAAAGGCAATTGGTCCTTTGACAGCA